TCACACACACTCACACACACACACTCACACACACACTCTCACACACACTCTCACACACTCACACACACACTCACACACACTCTCACACTCACTCACACTCACACACACTCTCACACACTCACACACACACTCACACGCACACACACTCACACACACTCACACACACACTCACACACACTCTCACACTCACTCACACTCACACACACACTCACACACTCACACACACTCTCACACACTCTCACGCACTCACACACACACTCACACACACACTCTCACACACTCACACACACTCACACACACACACTCACACACTCACACACACACACTCACACACTCACACACACACTCACACACACTCACACACACACTCACACACACTCACACACACACCCACACTCACACACTCACACACTCACACACACACTCACACACACACTCACACACACTCACACACACACTCACACACACTCACACACAAGTAGAGACAAAGGTCCCCTTGCACCATCCTCGCCCGTATAGCCTTCGGCGGACTGTCGAGGCAAGTACTGCAGGCGAGAGGAGCGGCACCCATGAAGGGCGGCACGTGGGTGGGGGGTGGAGCAAGATAAACACCGCGCCCGGCCGCCTTTGTCTCCCCGAGTGACGATGTTTAGTGCACACCGCACCGAGTGCTCATTTGAGGCGGAGTCCACCTAGGGGGAGGCCCGGGACCGGTTCAGAGAATCGGTTCAGAGAATCGTCACCGGCGTGGGTGGCCGCGAGCGGGAATCGAACTCGGGTCGCCGGGTTCGCAGCGCAGCGCTAACCGATGCATACAGAGATACACACAGTACACACACACACATAGTACACACAGAGATATACACAGTACATACAGAGATACACACAGTACACATAGTACACAGTACACACACACAGTACACATAGTACATACATAGTACACAGTACATACAGAGATATACACAGTACACACACACACACAGTACACACAGTACATACAGAGATATACACAGTACACACACAGTACATACACACACAGTACATACAGAGATATACACAGTACATACAGAGATACACATAGTACACACACACAGTACACACAGTACATACACAGTACACATAGTACATACACAGTACACATAGTATATACACAGAATACACACAGTACACAGTACACACACAGTACACACACAGTACATACACAGAGTACACACACAGTACACAGTACATACACAGTACATACAGAGATATACACAGTACACACACACAGTACACACACACAGTACACACACACAGTACATACAGAGTACACACACAGTACACACACACACAGTACACACACACAGTACATACAGAGTACACACACAGTACACACACACACAGTACACACACAGTACATACAGAGCACACACACAGTACACACACAGTACACACACAGTACATACAGAGTACACACAGAGTACACACACAGAGTACACACACACACAGTACACACACACACAGTGCATACAGAGTACACACACAGAGATATACACAGTACACACACAGTACACACACAGTACATACAGAGTACACACACAGAGTACACACACAGTACACACACACACACAGTACACACACAGTACATACAGAGTACACACAGTACACACACAGTACACACACACAGTACATACAGAGTACACACACAGTACACACACACAGTACACACACAGTACATACAGAGTACACACACAGTACACACACACAGTACACACACAGTACATACAGAGTACACACAGAGTACACACACAGAGTACACACACACACAGTACACACACACAGTACATACAGAGTACACACACAGAGATATACACAGTACACACACACACAGTACATACAGAGTACACACACAGAGATATATACAGTACACACACACAGTACACACACACAGTACATACAGAGTACACACACAGAGTACACACACAGTACACACACAGTACACACATACAGTACATACAGAGTACACACACAGAGTACACACACACACAGTACATACGGAGTACACACACAGAGTACACACACAGTACACACACAGTGTGTACTATGTGTGTGTGTGTACTGTGTGTGTACTGTGTATGTGTACTGCGTGTACTGTGTGTGTACTGCATGTACTGTGTGTACTGTGTGTACTGCAAGTACTGTGTGTACTGTGTGTATGTACTGCATGTACTGTGTGTACTGTGTGTGTACTGTTTGGGTACTGTGTGTGTGTACTGTGTGTATGTACTGTATGTATTGTGTGTACTGTGGGTGTACTGTGTGTGTACTGCATGTACTGTGTGTGTACTCTGTGTGTGTACTATGTGTGTACTGTGTGTGTACTGTGTGTGTACTGCGTGTACTGCATGTACTGTGTGTACTGTGTATGTACTGTATGTGCAATGTGTGTGCACTATGTGTGTGTACTGTGTGTATGTGCTGTATGTACTGTGTGTGTAATGTGTGTGTACTATGTGCGTGTACTGTGTGTATGTGCTGTGTGTATGTACTGTGTGTGTAATGTGTATGTACTGTGTGTATGTACTGTGTGTGTAATGTGTGTGTACTATGTGTGTGTACTGTGTGTATGTACTGTGTGTGTAATGTGTGTATACTATGTGTGTGTACTGTGTGTATGTAATGTGTGTGTAATGTAGGTGTACTATGTGCGTGTACTGTGTGTATGTGCTGTGTGTATGTACTGTGTGTGTAATGTGTGTGTACTGTGTGTATGTGCTGTGTGTGTGTACTATGTGTGTGTATTGTGTGTAATGTGTGTGTACTATGTGTGTGTACTGTGTGTATGTGCTGTATGTACTGTGTGTGTAATGTGTGTGTACTATGTGCGTGTACTGTGTGTATGTGCTGTGTGTATGTACTGTGTGTGTAATGTGTATGTACTGTGTGTATGTACTGTGTGTGTAATGTGTGTGTACTATGTGTGTGTACTGTGTGTATGTACTGTGTGTGTAATGTGTGTATACTATGTGTGTGTACTGTGTGTATGTAATGTGTGTGTAATGTAGGTGTACTATGTGCGTGTACTGTGTGTATGTGCTGTGTGTATGTACTGTGTGTGTACTGTGTGTGTAATGTGTGTGTGTGCTGTGTGTGTAGTGTGTGTGTGTGTACTGTGTGTATGTACTGTGTGTGTACTGTGTGTATGTGCTGTGTGTATGTACTATGTGTACTGTGTGTATGTACTGTGTGTAATGTGTGTGTGTACTATGTGTGTACTGTGTGTACTGTGTGTATGTGCTGTGTGTATGTACTATGTGTACTGTGTGTATGTACTGTGTGTGTACTGTGTGTATGTACTGTGTGTGTAATGTGTGTGTGCTGTGTGTGTATGTACTGTGTGTTTGTACTGTGTATGTACTGTGTGTGTACTGTGTGTATGTGCTGTGTGTGTACTGTGTGTACTGTGTGTTCTGTGTGTGTGTACTGTGTGTACTGTGTGTGTACTGTGTGTACTGTGTGTGTGTACTGTGTGTGTACTGTGTGTAATGTGTGTGTGTGTACTGTGTGTGTACTGTGTGTGTACTGTGTGTACTGTGTGTGTGTACTGTGTGTGTACTTTGTGCGCTACTCTGCAGGCAGCTGTCTCCTGGTGCGGTTTCGCTTCGTGCGCCCCCCTTGTTTCGCTGCAATGCCCCAGCACGACCAGAGGGCCGCACACAACGAGGGGAGGGGGGGGCTGCATTTGCCTGCGATCGATATTTGGAGGCGTGGCTTTTTGTTGCGGTTTCTACGGCAGAAAATAAAATAAAACAATTTGTTGATACCGCCGCAAATAAAACGACGCTGCGCGAGTCGACAAACACAGAGGCAGGGCGCATCCTCGCCGCTTGAGACGCGCGTTTCACTCTGTGCGCCGTTCGTTTTGCTCTTGGGAACGCTTCTAGCACAACGGCGGAACGCGCATAACCAAACCCCTACCACCGTTATAACGCGGATTGGGCAGCGTTAACGCGTTATAACGCGTCCACCGTTATAACGCGTCCACCGTTATAACGCGTCCACCGTTATAACACAGAGCGCGTCCACCGTTATAACGCGTCCACCGTTATAACGCGTCCACCGTTATAACGCGTCCACCGTTACAACATAGAACGCGTCCACCGTTATAACGCGTCCACAGTTATAACACAGAACGCGTCCACCGTTATAACGCGTCCACCGTTATAACGCGTCCACCGTTATAACGCGTCCACCGTTATAACGCGTCCACCGTTACAACACAGAACGCGTCCACCGTTATAACGCGTCCACCGTTATAACGCGTCCACCGTTACAACACAGAACGCGTCCACCGTTATAACGCGTCCACCGTTATAACGCGTCCACCGTTATAACACAGAACGCGTCCACCGTTATAACACAGAACGCGTCCACCGTTATAACGCGTCCACCGTTATAACGCGTCCACCGTTATAACGCGTCCACCGTTATAACGCGTCCACAGTTACAAGGCGGTTTCTGAGCGATTTACGACGAGCAACTTTATTGAGCTGCGCCACGGCCGAGCCTGTACGGCGATGCCGTGACGCGGAGTGACGCGGTCACGTGGTGGTTGACGTCGCCTCGGTTTTATTTTCACCGCGTGCGCGCGCAGCTGTAGTCGGGCTCGCGTCGCGTCTCGCCCAACTTCGTCGTTGTTACACCACCGATGTGGAGTTTGTTTTCGCCAAGTGTTTTTTTTTATTCACGCGGCACTTTTTCTACTACGACTAGCGCGTTAAACGAGGACTTGCTGTATTGTTATTTTGATTGTTTAGCCACTGCAGCCTCACTGAGTTCAGAGGACTCGTTTTTCAAGAGGATCCCGCCAAGCTTTTGTATTGCAAAGACCCTCCAACACCCGACGAGCAAAAATCGGATGAAATTGTCGTTTAAAAATGTGCCGAACATCCGCGTGCAGGACCCTCTTGAACGATGAGTAATGCGACTCAGCGTGAAGCTTTACTGGACGTCTTATCATTATTATTATTACACGATTTATTGAAAGATTTTACAACGTAGGTTCATACAGAGTCTGCAATCGAATTGCAGTGCAGCCTTCTGAAGTTGTACTTATTTTACTGACCCCACGATGATGATGATGATGAAGAAGTGATGATGATTATACAATAGTGAAGACAACTCGTAACAAATGCATGTTGATGATGGCAAATAGCGATGCCGCTGCTGCTACTGCTGCTGATGACGATCGCATTGATGATTGCCCGATGCTGCTGATGATGATGAGAAATAACGATGCCCGTTGCCCACTGGACATCTGCGAGAAAGAACTTCATAGCTCATCAGTATAAATACATATTCTGATTCTGACTGCTACTGACGATCACATTGATGCCATGATAGTGGCAATGAGAAATAGAACGACGACTCTTGTGTTGATGTTGCTGCTGCTACTGCTGCTGCTGCTGCCGCCGATCATCGTGACGATGAAACCGATGACGACGGCGACGACGTCACAACGACGGCGACGACGTCACAACGACGACGTCACAACGACGGCGACGACGTCACAACGACGACGTCACAACGCCGGCGACGACGTCACAACGGCGGCACTCTACACCCCGCCTCCCTACATCATTCGGGTGCTGAATGTCCTCGGCTCGGCGCCACCGCCGCCGCCGCCGCCGCCGCCGCCTTCTTGGTTGCACCGCGGCACGTGTCCCACGTCGAAGGTCTTCTTCACGCGCCCCTTGGCGCGGCTCCAGACGAACAGGAGCAGCAGGCAGAGCAGCACGACGCCCAGGAAGGAGCAGCATCCCATGGCCGTGGCCACGAGTACCGTCTGCAGATTGAGCAGGAACCTCTTGTGAGGCAGCGCCACGTCGCTCCCTCCGACGCCGCTGCCGCCGCCGCCGCCGTCGTCGTCCCAGCTGCCGTTGTCGCCGTGGCCCGGCCTGGCCGCGCCGTCCACGAGCGGCGTCGTCCTGGCCATGTGCAGGAAGTGGTCGGCGCCCGCGTAGCCGCGCACGGCGAGGCGCACCGCCAGGGTGTCGTTGCCGCCCGCGTTGGCCGCCACGCACGTGTACACGCCGCCGTCGCCCGGCTGCGCGTAGCGCACCTCGAGAGCGCCGTCGGGCGACACGAGCATGCGCCCGTTGCCCCGCGCCGTCAGCGCGGCCCTCTGCGGCGACAGCCAGAAGACCCTGGGCGGCGGGTCACCCTCGGCGCGGCACGGGAACACGGCGCTGTGGCCCTCGTCCACCACGGCGCTCCTCCAGCGCGACGACGACGACGGCTGCGGCGGCGGCGCCGAGGACGCGGACGACGACGCCGGCGCGGCGTCCCCGTCGAGGATCCGCGGCCGTCGGCAGGTGAAGTAGTTGGGCAGGAGGACGTCGGGGAAGTTGCGGAACTCCCAGCCGCGGACGCCGTCGGGCGCGGCGCACGCCGGCTGCGCGCCGTCGAAGCTCAGGCGCCGTCGCCGGCGCAGCAGCCACAGCAGTCGGCAGTCGCAGGCGAGCGGGTTGTCGTCGAGGCGCAGCACGGCGAGGTTGGCCACCGACTGGAAGGCGGCCTCCTCGAGTGTGTCGAGGCGGTTGCCCGACACGTTGAGCAGCCGCAGGTGGCCGAGGCCGTGGAAGGCGCGGGCCTCGACGGTGGCGAGGCGCGCGCCCGCCAGGTGCAGCTCCTGGAGGCGCGCCAGGTCGACGAGCAGGCGGCCCTCGACGGCCGCGATGGGGTTGAAGGAGAGGTTGAGGAGGCGCAGGTAGACGAGGTGGCGCAGCGCCGCGTACGGCACGGCCGTCAGGTTGCAGTGCGTCACGGAGAGGCGCGTCAGGTTGAGCCCGTAGAGGCTGTTGGGCGCCAGCGCCTCGAGCAGGGGCCAGTGCTCGATCTCGAGCGCCTTGAGGCGCGAGAGGCGGCGCAGGGCGTACGGCGGCACGGCGCCGATGCCGAGGTGGCGCAGACGCAGCGACAGCAGTCGGTGCAGGTGGGACAGCGCGTCGGCGGGCACCGACGTCAGGTTGCAACGCTCGAGCGCCAGGTGCTCGAGGCTGTGCAGGCCGGCGAAGGCGCGCTGCGACACGTACACCAGCTCGTTGTCGCCCACGTCGAGCGAGCGCAGGCTGCGGAGGTCGGCGAACATGAGGTCGAGGAGGACCACGACGCGGTTGTCGCTGATGTCGAGGTGCGTGAGGTTGCCGAGGCCGGCGAAGGCGCCCAGGGGGATGAGCTTGAGGCGGTTGCTGCGGAGACGCAGCGAGCGCAGGTGCGGCAGGTTGTTGAAGGCGCCGTCCTCGATGCTCGCCAGGACGTTCTCGCTCACGTCCACCTCCTCGAGCAGCGGGAAGGCGGCGAAGTCGTCGGCGGCGAGCGCCCGGATGCGGTTCTTGCTGAGGTCGAGCGAGCGCGTCTCCGTGGGGATGCCCTCGGGGATGGAGGCGAGGCGACGCCGGTGGCACACCACCGAGCGGTTGTGTGGGGAGCAATCGCAGCGTGCCGGGCAGCCCGAGGCGCGGCCCAGGCGCGCCACCATGGTGGTCACGGCCAGCGCCGTGGAGACGAGCAGCAGCGGCAGCAGCGTGGCAGGGGAGCCACGGCGGCCCGGCCGCATCCTCGCCAGCATGGCGGCAGCAGCAGCAACAACAACACGCTTCTTCTTCTTCGTCGTCTTCTCTGCTCCACTCAGAACGACCCGTGGAAGCGGATATCACAGAGCTACTTCTGAGAGCCTTTCTTCGTTTTGCTTGGTGCCTATGACGCCAATTGCTGGTGCCTGGTGTCTATGACGCCTATTGCTGGTGCCTATTGTGTAATGCCTATTGCTACTGCCTGGTGTCTATGACGCCTATTGCTGGTGCCTATTGTGTAATGCCTATTGCTAGTGCCTGGTGTCTATGACGCCTATTGCTGGTGCCTATTGTGTAATGCCTATTGCTAGTGCCTGGTGTCTATGACGCCTATTGCTAGTGCCTGGTGTCTCCGACGCCTATTGCTGGTGCCTATTGTGTAATGCCTATTGCTAGTGCCTGGTCTCTATGACGCCTATTCCTGGTACCTATTACAAGTGCCTACATTGTACATTTCTCGCGTCGAATGCCTAAAATGTCTATTGCTCATCTTTAGTGGCTCATGCCGAGTAGCTATTGTCTAAGTGCCTACTGCGAGTGCCTTATTGCTAGCGTGCAGATAGCTCGATGCCTATGCCTCGCGCGAGTGCCTGCATTGCCTGTTGCTAGCGCAAAGAGCCTCGCAACTGGTGTCTCGTCGTGCGCACCTAGTGACTTGGAGTGCCGAGCTACGGGTGGTGGGTGGTGGGTGGTGGTGGGTGGTGGTGGTGGGTAGTGGTGGTGGGAGTTGGCAGAGCGAATTGTGAATGCTGCGTGAGACCTCACAGGCGAGGCTGGCCAAACGATGGCAGTACAGCAAGTAGACGTCCCCTCTGGCCAGTGCAGCCTCCTATCTAAGACGAGGGCACGCGACCCTCTCGAGCAGGAGCAGTCTTCAGACTCACAGAGGCGTAGGCGCCGCCGTTGTTGTCGTTGTTGTTGCTGCTGCTGTTGTTGTTGTTGTTGCTGTTGTTGTTGTCTGCGCAATATTCAACTCGGTAGTGCCTGCGTTCAGAGGGCTTAACTCGTGATCTGAAGTGTACAGTTCAATTCCTGGTCATTGATTGGTCCGTAACTAAATGATGATCATGATGTAATTATTAGAATTATTATAATTGTTATAATTTTATGGTGACGCGGCTCATCGAGGAGGTAGCTATTTCATTGAATTTCATTCTTGATTTGCAAATCGATGTTATTCGCCCCCCCCCACCACGCCCCACCCCGTAATCGGATCAATCTCCGCAACCCCGCCCGTTCACTCGGAGTGGTGTCGAATTCCTGGCGGGGTTCTCTCCACCACCACCACCCCCCCCACCACCACCACCCCACCACCTCCACCCCACCACCACCACCACCCCACCACCACCACTCCACCACCACCCCACCACCACCACCACCACCCCACCCCACCACCACCCCCCCACCTAGCGCCCGGCCGCCTGGAGGGCACGTGGCCACGGAGACAGCGTTGGGGGTCTTCACAGCTTGGGGTCTTCAAACGGACGGTGGTGGTGGTGGTGTTGGTGGTGGTGGTGTTGGTGGTGGCGGGGGTGGTGGTGTTGGTGGTGATGTTGGTGGTGGCGGGGGTGGTTTTGGTGGTGGTGGTGTTGGTGGTGGTGTTGGTGGTGGTAGTGGCGGTGATAGTTGGGGTTGGTGCTGGTGGCGGTTGTGATAGTGACGGCAGTGGTGTTTGCGGTGGCAGTGGTGGCGGCGGTGGTGGTGGTGTTGGCGGTGGTTGTGGCAGTGACGGCAGTGGTGGTGGTTGTGGCGGTGGGTTGTGGTTAGCGATCACGAGGGCGTCAGCTACCTCGCCGTCGTGCGAAACGGAATTGTTCCGCGAACGGCGACGTAACGGCCCTGCGGTGTTCCCCTCGCAGGGAGTACAAAACGGGCGTCAAGGAACGAAACTCCCGGCGTCATTCCAGGGTCCATCGGAGTCGCGCTCTCAGAGCGCGGGGCCTTCGAGGGAGGCCGTTTCGTCCGAGCCTCGGGCTCGTTGCAGCTTTGCTCGCCACGGCATCGCCGGACGCCTCACGCCGGTGACCCAGGGACCCCACGGCTAGCCGGCCGGCCTTCCTGGGGTAAACAAAACCGTTTAATACAACGATAAAATTAACTATTGAAAATAATAAAAGCACGCAAAGCGAACGCACGTTGGCAACATACGTGGGAGGTTTTTTTTTTTTTTGGGGGGGGGGGGACACAGAGAGGGAGGTGAATATTGTTGTGTCGTACAGACATCCGCCACCCGACGCAGACGATTAATAAAGTTGTCACGTGATGAACACACGTGGTCCCAATGCTTCGCTGCTTGGGCAGCATCACAGCAGGGATGGTGATTCACCACTCGGCGCCACTGCTGATCGCGATCACCCGGCTCATCCATCACCTCCAAGTAGAATCACAGTTGTGGCTCTCCACCATCATCATCATCATCCTCAGCCGTATGAAGAAGATGTCTCTAGATTCACACTGAGACCCATTGACTCACATAGAAACCCATAGACTCATATAGAGATCCATAGACTCACATAGAGATCCATAGACTCGCATAGAGACCCATAGACTCGCACAGAGCCCAACAAACTTACGTAAAGATCTCTATGAAGTCGCTTTTCTTTTTCTTTCAGAATCATAAACATACACTTACATTAATCGTCACCACAGCGATGATGATTCACCACTCCGCTACTCCAGCCGCAATCGTCCTGCTCATCATCCACCTCCATGCCGAATCACAGCTGCGGCTCCACGTCAACAACATCAGCCACGCGAAGATGCGAATACCCACGCTTTACCCCACCGCCACACGCGATCTGTCAAATTGACGGTACTGTTGGTTTTTTTGCCCACCAATCGAAATCGCTGGGTGCACGTTAGGCGGGTTGTGAAGTGGCAGCCGCAATGAACCGTTGGCGGTGAAGGCGAGTCGGGTCGCGGCGGTCCCTTAATAAAGAACGGTCACGAGGCAGTCCCTTGGTGAGCCACGCATGCGGCTCCTGGAGCCGCAGGTTGCCGCCCGCTGTTGTAGATCATTGGAGTGTCTCCCTAAGTCAATGTTCACTGGAAGATGATAAATGAAATGATTAGTATCTCTGCACGATTGAGCTGCTGTGCGGAAGCGTAGGGTGTGACGGGCACTGCGATCAACCCAGAGAGCTGAGTTCAATTCCCAGCCACGGCCGACAGGAGTGGAGGAGAGTCAACATCACTAGCGGACGGACCTTCGGTGCCGGCCGGACACCACCGGCGCCGCACATGCCGTGGGGAGACTTTCATCTGGCAGCGGGCTGGCAAAAGTACCACCGAGGATAATAACGAATATGACGATCATGATGATTTCAATTCTGAAGTGACGTTAACAATCGTCTACAAATATCGGAGCCGATTCTGTAAGGACACGGATTTGGTTTTCAGCCCCCCCCCCCCCCCCCCCGAGGAAAGACAACGGAGAGCGTTAGAGACTTGCAGCCCACGTGCTGCGTCACTTTGTGCCACATCGAGGCAGCTCCCGCCGGGGGGTGAGGAGGGGGTGTGCCCCCCCCCCCCCAGGCATTAAAAAAAGGAAAATGTCAGCCGGGCATTGGAAAGATTGAGAGGAGATGCGATGTTTGGGAGCTTTTGAGATGCTGCCCGCTGGTGTCCTTTAAGCAGTGCTCAGTGGGGAAAAAAATGCGAATCGTCAATCGATGTGGACGCTGTCCCCTCCCCCCCCCCCCCCCCCCCCACACTTATTGACTAAAAAAAACACGGAAGCTTAAAAATCCTGGCGGAGGAGATGGACCCTCCCCCCTCCATCTTCACCACCACCCGCAGGGAAGTGGAACAGACGAGTGGCCCGGCACGTCCTGGGGAGACATCGCGATCGCAAACCGCTCTCTGCCCCGTGCCAAACGTCGAATGTCCATGCCTCGCGCCTGCGGCTTCCGTGCAGCAGTGGATGAGCGGTGCTGCCCCGCGGTTACTACCGGAAGCCCAGGCAGGAGGTTCGGGGTTGGAGGTGCGGGGCTGGAGGTCTGGGGATGGAGTCTCAGGGCTGGAGGTCTGGGGATGGAGACTCAGGGCTGGAGGTCTAGGGCTGGAGACTCGGGGGGTTGGAGGCTCGATGCTGGAGGTCTGGGGCTGGAGCTATGGGGCTGGAGGCTCGGAGCTGGAGGTCCGGGGCTGGAGGCTCAAACTGAGGCTCGAGGCTGGGGGTCTGGGGATGGAGGACCGGGGCTGGAGGCTCGGGGTAAATTTTTTTGCAAATGACACGATGCTGATTACTGCTGGCCGCTCTCCGGATGACGTGATTGCTAAGCTCCAGGGTGATTTCAACAAACTACAACATCAGCTAGTTTCTCTTAAACTAGTCCTGAATACCTCCAAAACCAAGGTGCTTTGCTTCTCACCGGGACTAAAGCAGGAAGTTATTTTTCCCCAATTACATTCCTTGAATAATTATCAAATAGAGCAAGTCAAGATCTATAAGTATCTTGGGGCCATCCTGGATTCAAAACTTAGTTTTGAAGATCACATTGATTATATTGGTAAAAAGACAAAAATAAAAATTGGTTTTCTGTATCGACACAAGCACTGCTTCCCCCCAATGTTCCGTTTGGAATTGATAAAAGCTACCATACTGCCTCTACTTGACTACTGTGACATCGTGTATAAATCAGCCCCAAGTACTGTACTGAAGAAGCTTGATTCCATCTTTCACTCGGCCTTAAGATTTGCATTGAACTGCCCATATAGGACTCACCACTGTGATCTCTACATTTGGTCAAACTTAACATCTCTTAATGTTCGACGGCTTGTGCACCAGATCGTATTTATTCATGATGTACTTACAAAAAATTCCGCAGACTACCTACTGGATCTCCTCTCTGTTTCAAAGAACAAATTTGACCTCAGGTCTTCGCTCATTTACCAGCTTCACATTCCCTATTGTCATACAAAAACTGGAGGAAGGGCTTTTGCTATTGATATCCCCAGGGTCTGGAATGCTATTGCCAATAAACTGCAACTTGAATCACTACCTATGAGATCTTTACTCAAAACTGCTCAAGAGGAGTTGTACACCCCTAGCTGCCACTGCTATTCAGTGGCCTAAAATATGGATCTAGATTTTGGTGTTATAATTTATTTATGTAGTTTATTGTTGAAAATTCGGTCACAGTCCCTATGATCACTATTACATTGCATTTATGGCTTTTATTTTGGTGATTTCGAAAACTTTTTTTTTGGTTTTGGCCATGTTTTTGTTTATTGTAGTACAGAGTTAGACTGATGGCCTTAATCTTAGTTGTCTTGTGGTTGTTGTTGTTATTTGACTTGCATCCCACTGGGATTTTTGCACACAGCGTTGGTGTACGGTGCTTTTTTTTCAGAAGTATTTTGCTGTTTTTTTCATGGATTTTCTGTTTGCACAGTCATGTAATCACTTTAAGATGTTTTCTTGTTCATGTTTTTTGTTTGTTGAGGTTGCACCCGATTCAAGAGCAAGAATGGCTCACAGGGCTATACCAAATAAATGAACTATGAACTAATAAATGAACTATGTTATTCAAATCTGAAAAAAAAATCTTCAGCTGGAGGCTCGGGGCTGGAAGTCTGGGGATGGAGGACCGGGGATGGAGTCTCAGGGCTGGAAGTCTGGGGATGGAGGCTCATGGCTGGAGGTCCAGGGCTGGAGACTCGGGGCTGGAAGTTTGAGGTTATTCCCGCTGTGGTGGTGGGAGGGGGGGGGGGGCGCCCTACGTAGGGCAGAATCGCCCTACCCGTGGCAATTCTACCCCCCCCTCTCATCTCCTCCTCCCCTGCCCCCCTCCCCGTGGGACAGCTGTTGAGATGAGTGTCGCCCGCGGCTCGTGTGAGCGCCGGGGAGAGACACGGGGAGCGGTGGGAAGGCACGCGGGCCATTTGGCATTCGTTTTATTTGATTGAATTTTGTTGTTGTGTGTGGCCTCAGTAGCTCGCCTCTCTCGCCTCTCTTTCTCCCATTCAATTCGCGGGCAGGTATCCACAGTGCCCCCCAATGACTTCTAAGCTCTTTCAATCTATACTGGAAGCACTGTAATCCCTCCTTTTCTGATCGATATTACGGCCCATCACACACACACATACAACCACAAATGATCGTTCACACACACACACAGATGCTTGTATGTGTGTGTGTTGCCAGCACACACACACAGAGATGCTTGTGTGTGTGTTGCTAGCACACACACACATACAACCACAAAATATCGTTCACACACACACACAGATGCTTGTATGTGTGTGTGTTGCCAGCACACACACACAGAGATGCTGGTATGTGTGTGTGTGTTGCCAGCACACACAC